ATTAACTTAATTTTTTTTCCCCTTTTTCTCCGTTATTTTTCTTTTTTTCCTTTCTCTCTCTGTCATCGAGATGTACGTTACGTGGATAATTCCGGATAAGTTGAGAGATCTAAGAGGCACAAAAGGGTCAGGGAACGAGAAAGGATTTTAAACGGTACTCGTGAAAGAAGATGGTTGTTGCGCAAAGAACAAGCACTCCGTTCCGTGAGAGTTTCGTGCCACTCCGCTCGATCATGCATGTAAATGAATGGGAGCGTCACAAGAGCCTGCGAGTGTGCTCGTGCGCGCCGCAGTTTTGCAATCCCTTTTCGTACTTTTGCGGGGCGGTCGATATGCAACAGAACCACCGGGAATCGCAGTCGTTCGGCCAACATCTAAAAGATGGCTCGTTACGCCATCACGAATAATCGCTGTTCCTCGTCCCTTTGAAATTTCGAATAATACAGAATTCACGTTCTGAAGTGGATGCCATTCTATGTCGTCGATAAATTCTTTTCTTTATCTTTCGATCGTTTAAGACTTTCTACTAATGCGAGAGCGCGTCTACGAGTACGAAACTGACTAGAGGAGTTTGTCGCAGACGATTCTGTTCTCTGCTTGCCGATAGCTACCGCCGCGCTGTGGTTCCGCGGATTAATTACTTAGGAATGTAACCGCACGGTGAAGAAAGGGCCGATCTGCACTAAAACCGATTAGAAAAACAGCTCGCTGACTCGATAACCTGGTGCCTGGTCGCTCGAGGGAACTTCATCAGTATTTCTACGTCGGGAAGTAAAAATAATTTTCGAGAAAGCGAATCCCTTGGACGCGTAATGGGTTTCCATATGCGCTGCGCGCGAGCGTTGGAGGAACAAGGAGACGAAAAAGACGAGGATCCAACGTTGCGCACCTCTGTGCTATTACAACCAAGGTTACTGAGAACCGTGCATCTCTCTTCCTCCCTCCACCCCGCGCTCTTCGCCCCCTCTCTCGTGGCATCGAGGTTGCGAATCAGCTCCAAACCGGACTAAATTTTATTACACTTGGTCGTACCACTTGATCCGAACACTTGGAAATTTTCTCCTCCTATTTTCTTTTTTTTCCCCCTACTTCTACGATTGCACGATGCTTTCCTAAAGTAAGAAAAAAAAAGCATCTTCGATTCGGACACTTGGAATTTTCTTCTCCTATTTTCTTTTTTATCTCCTTTCTCCTCTATTTCTATGATTGTTCGATGCTCTTCCAGTACAAAAAGAAACATCGAAACAACTTTATCGCGTCACATTAACAAGCGGTCGGTTTCTGCAATCGTAATCGCACGCGATAAACTTCTGTCCGGTGCGAAGCGGAACGCCAAAGAAAATGTAACGAAAACGATCCACCTGCGGCAAGGAGAGAAAAAAAAAAAAAAAGAATCGGGGACGATTTACTTTCGTAGGATACGTTTTATGGCTGACCTAGCACGCCTGTACCCCGCTGTCAGTAATTGAGGAGCGAGTAGCCACGATACACGATTCCCCGTTTATCGTGAATACGCGTCCGTAACGTCGTAACCCATAGTAACCGCAAGCACCATTAATACACTGTGATGTCATCCCAAAGAAATGCATCGGTTCTTTGCGGCGTAAATCTTGCGAAATCGCCGCCGGTTGCGCTCGGTTTTCCCATCGGAATCGACCAAGTGCGCGCGCGCGTGAAAGAGAGACTATATTCGAACGATTGCCGAAATACTCGTTTCACACGTGTCCAAAGAGATAAATTCGCGTTACTAAACGACCAGATGCTATTATAAATCGGTTGATACAGTTGAGCCCCGCTTTTAGGCGAACCGCTGCAATCCTACACGCATACTCGGGTTTTCCGGTCGATATGATCAACGATCAACTTTAGATAAAAATAATTTATACTATCGATAAATACTCGAGATAAATCTTTTGAATCATCGCCTCGTATTATTTCCTAAACAGAAGAACGAAAAAAATCTACGAGAAATCTTTTTTATTTTAAATTTATTTGGATCCATTATATCCATCCATAAATATCTTCTCGCCTAAACATAACCTAGCCATCTTGCTAAATAACCTATCGTAACTATTTCTTGGCGATAACGCGAATTTGATCATGCAAACGTAATGCACCGTCGCTACGAGCAAGTAGCAGCGTAGTAGCGTGCATACGCACTGACGTCGTCCTATTGGACCTTTCTCGATGACGTCAACAGGGTTGACCAATAGTAATGGTCACGACGGAGAAACAGAATCAGCGAGCCCAGAAAGAACAAATCTTTCACCATTGCATTCAACGAGAAAAAGTGTAAAAAGAATTGCACGGTATATAACCCAGATTTCTGGAAGCAATCTGTCCCTGCAATTTTAGCAAATTGCTGGCCAAAAAACCATCGATATCCGAGAAGCTTAAATATCAGGCTAAACAACGAAATTATTCAAAATAGGAGGGAGGAACCTACGAATAAAATAAAGTTAATTGGAATTTTTAGTCTGAGTAGCTGAAATTTGGCCAATGAATGGATCCTTTTAAACAACTTTCTTCCGATTCTCTTGCGAATCAAGTGTATATGTGTCGCGCGTGCCCGTCACCGTGCGCCAACTTCCCCCTTGCGGTCGATACGATTTCACCACGCAGCCAGCAAGCGCTACCACCAGAGGCGTACCCCACCAAATTAAATTTCGAGCCCGAAAGCATTTAAACCTCTGCCTTCTTCTCGTTCGCATACGATCGATTTAGCTTCGATCGCATTTTTAGGCGCTCGTGCTTCGAACTATCGGAGAAATGTATTTTTACGAGGATACGCGTTCCAACATGCGTGCGGAAAGAGAAAAATTTGGAGGAAAATTTTTTTAGTTAAGCTGCATGACGAATTTATACCGGTCCAGTTGAGGAAATTCGTGGTTACAGATAGCCACTAACGAACAACATATCTGCACTTATTATCCCACTACCGCGAATATTCCAGATTTGAGACTTTACAACACAAATTGAACTGACAAACAGAAATCATTCAGTTGGTACGAATTTACAGATGTTTAAATATCAATTTTTTTCTCTGCGATGTTCTATTGATGGCAGTTTTAACTTTCGAAATTCTAGATCCCGTTCAACGAAATGCATTGGATACTTACAACGTACGTGGATATACAACGTATAATTAAATCGAAATAAATATTGGAGAGACATCGTTGAGGATCGATAAGTTTCAAATTTTCTGAACGTGACGTACGACACACGGGGGAGGGAATTCAACGTGACAGAAAAAAAGACGCGAGGAATTTTACAAAAAGGGGGCTCTGGCGAAAGAAAATAGGAAAGACAAGAGTAGGATTGGAAGGGATCGCGAAAAGATCAAGAAAAAAGAAAATGACAGGGGTCGATGAAAGTAAATGAAGGGATAAAAGAGGAAGGAAAGTTATACATATTCCTTATATACATATACATATATATATATATATATATATATATGTATATGGTAGTGAAGGTAATAGGTAAGAAAGAGAAACGAGAGAGAGAAAGAGAGAGAGAGAGAGAGAGAGAGAGAGAGAACGCATCAACAATATGGCCACCTGGCAGAGAAAACAGCGCCGCCTGGCAGATTTTTCCATTCCCGCCGTGAAATAGTTTTCAATATACAAACTTTCCTTTACTTAGTTAACGCTGTTAAATAACATTTGTGAATTATTTTATTAAATCTCATACTTGAAATTTGATGAAAACCTGTTAAAAATGATCTCATAACCTTACGAAATCAGTAATATTGTACATCAAAAGAACATTCCTGAAATTTTAAACAACAGTATTTCATGGTAAAACATAATGATCGTTTAGCTACAAGAAAGTTTGTAACGAGATATACATCAATATCAATTGAAATACTGCTTGAATGAAATATACATATATACAAATATACATAGATATACGTCATTACAACCATACTATATAACCATAGCATATCTACTAGTGAATTAATTTTAGATTTTATATTTCTTCGTTTGAAATAAGTAAACGTGTATCATAACAAGAATCCTATATTTATTCATTTATTTTTGCTATTTTTGATTAATATTGTATGAACACATTATGAATACTGCTCGCAAAGTAGGGTTAGATACAGGTTTGTTAGTTGTGAAAATCTGCAAGGAACGAGATGACGGAAGTACATCATCTTTTTAATTTGTGCATCAATTTTTTTTCACGATCAACAGACACTAATTCATAAAAAAAAAAAAACAATTGATCTTACGTGTCTAAATAGTCAGACGTAGATTTACCAACGAAAAGCAGTAGAAAAAAAAAAAAGAAATTCAACAATTCCAGCTTGCATCTAACGTAGAATATCTTAAAGGTATAAATCGTTCGTAATAAAATTCTCGCGCGAGAATGCAAAAAAAAAAGGAGAAGGGAGAAAAGAAAAATGCGAAATAAACGTTTTAAACGTTATATAAACGTTGATAATAGTGTGAATCAAACAACGTCAAGTAGTATGTGTACGATGTGGTTGACCTGTACTCACCATTTTACTAATCATTGTTGCCACCATTCGGAAACAAAAATTGCGATCAACAAATACTTTTTAAAGTCTCTGGTCTTATTGCAAAAAAGACGACGGAATATTTGCAATCGAGATTAATTCGAGTCTCACCGAGGTCGAAGTTTCGCGACGTTTGGAGATTTTTTTTTCTCTCTCTTTTTTTTCTCTCCCTTTTGATCGAGCCAAGTGCAAACGATTAAACGACCGAGACACGATGAACATCAGTAAAATTGTCGAAAGCTCGTCCGCGATGACACTGCTCCGCACTCTCGTCAACAATTTGCAATAAAAAGGGGGAAAAAAACACGAAATATAGGAGACAATTTGAACGTCACTGAACGATTCACAATACGAGCAGAACGCAGCGTTACACCTGTCTTTTGTGTGACAGTTTGACTGAATTTTGAACACCTGTCGCAACGAATGCAACTCCCGTCCCGTTCCGTACAACAGAAATTCGTAAAAATTCATTGCTTACCTTAATATGACAGGAATATAGAAGCTCACTTTAAACTTGGATGTAAACACAAGCATTTTTCAATGGAATTGACACCAGGGCAGCTTAAATAACAAACGAAAAAACACTCTTTACATCGCGGGCAACGTTATTCCACTATCCAAGGTTTTATTACGTTATTAAATACCACAATAAATACGAGAATTCACGATCTCTTCGGAAAACATCCATCGAAAACTAAAGATGGCAGCCATTCTTCTGTACAAAACAAAGGTTCACATCCACGGACTCGCAAGCAATGAAGCCTCGAAACCAGATAACTTCCGGCGCTGCCATCAGCCCGCCATTTTCAATTTGCCGAAACTGCGTCAACTTGTTTCCGACAAATGTGAGATATAATTCGCTTTCAGGACTCTGAATACGTCGCTTTACTATTGTGAGAATATTATCTTGACTTCTGTTTACGCGAATTAACTATAAATTTACTTTTTTTCAACGCGTTGATGATTTAGGACGTTGATGTCGCATATTGCTGGTAGTTGGCGTTTAAATCGAATCGCTAATCAGAGCGACATCTGGTTTGAAATATATGAACGAACGTTCTGCTGGCAACTTCAAGGGAGTAGTGAGAGACGAACAATTTCACATTTGTCTCTCTGTTGGCCGAAAAAAAGTAAATAAAAATTTACAAGATTTACTACGTGTCGTTCATCCATGAATAAAACATATTTGTTGGTAAATTGATTGGCGTCTGATCATCTCGCTCATCTGTTTTTTAAATTGTACTCCGTCGTATATCTCGACGCTTCGGCGAAAATCAACTGACATTTAAGTAATTGTCGGCGCAAACGTCAGTGAGGAAGTTGGCAGTATTTGTCGAGCGTGTATGGCACGAAAATTCCACACGATCGCTGTAACTTAGATTATTGATTATTTCTAAGTATGCGATAGTGTTTTTAGAAAAGTAGCGTTCGAAATGTGAGCTGCTTGCAAACGAGAGATATCCTGATGCAATTCCAACTTGGAAAAATTGTTCATATTTCGTAAATACAAATGTTTTCAATTTAACAATGGTAATTTATTATGCAAATTGAATATAAACGAAACTTGTGGGAGTAAGTCCGTTATATGCTTGAGTATTAATTTTCTGTGTATATTTCTGTAAAAAAAATTGTTCAAGCGTAAAAACTCAACAAACAAATGGAGATGATCATCCTCTTCTTTCTTTTTTTTTTTTTTCAGTATATAGAAATGGCTGATACCGATCCACAGTTGAAGCGACTTTTACTCCCAGCAGAAGAGACTTTGTTCGAACAGTTATTAAGGTTTGGGCTATACATTGGTGCGGTGTTTCAAGTTGTATGTTTACTAGCAATAGTGATTTATCAGGCGGGTCCCTCTGATGGCATAGCTGCTTTAAAAGTATCTTTTCATGTCTCTTGTGATTAACTAAATCGTCTTTCTGATACTTGTTCTACTTTTGTTACACGTTGTAAACTTAATTGCAGGACGACCCAAGTGATGTAGAATGTTCTGAGAACAGCCCTCAAGTAACGCCAAGGAGACCGCACAGGCCGCGAAAACAAGAAAAAAAGAAAAGACGCTGAAAAGATGCTTCTTCGTCTGCGCACAATTTTTAATATCTCTTGAGAAGACTGCTTCTATACGTTGTTATTCGCATAACTTACTTTTGATAAAATGTTGTTGAGTGTTTAATGGACATTTAAAAACGTCGAAATTATTGCTTTCAAGAAAAGCGACGATCGTTTTAACAAACGATCATTAAGTCATTTATTTTGCATTTGTACAATTGCATACACTTTTTATAGTTTTAAGAATATTTATTTACGATCAGTCATATGTTTTTTTTAAAAATACATTCGTTTATTTTTTTTACTGAAGAACAATTTTCGAAGAAACGCGCGAATGTAATCTTACAGTTCAAATACACGAAAGAAAGTTCATAAAATAATTTTCATTAATAACGAATAAATTTATATTTTATAATTAATTTATATTTCCAAATTGGCCTTTTTTCATATTAATATACGTGCTGTATAATACGACTATAACTAACACATAATGTTTTTAACATTTTACCATTTTGTATGGTTGCCCTCTTTAACTAAAAGTTTAGAATTTCTATTTTAAAAACTCGATCTTTTTGAATCGAAGTCGTAAACGTGCCGCGCGCGATCTATCGGCAGCAAGTGAAACTTGCATTTAAACGAAGCAAGAGCGTTTGTTGCATATCACGCTTTAAGTTATTTCTCGTATTTGTTTTATTTATATTTTTCAAACTTTGAATGTAAAGTAGCAGTGATGATAGTAAACATTATAATCGTTAAACTTTCCCGATGTTAGCTGGTCTTACAATTGTACTTAACCTCAAACACTCAAAAGAAAACATGATCGTATTTACATCTTCGTGATTCATTGAGGGACTAAAATTAAGATGTTGCACTCCACGGGAACGTTATCGCCTGAAGACATCCTGGCAGAAGTTAGAAAATTTATCTCGGGGGCAGTTCGACCGACTCATAGCACGAGCACGCTCGATGTAACGCGGACAGCCCTCTCTTTACTTCGACATGTGCCTGCTGCAAGAGACGCGGTGCTTGAATATTTCTGCAATGTATTTTTTATTGCTGTTACCAAATATGTTCGCCAGCTCGAGGTAAACTCAACAATTGTGCAACGTCTGCGTAAAATCCATAATATAGTTGAAGCTATTCTATTAATACGTATGTTATTTCACCAGACGAATCAGAACTTGGCGATATGTGAGGAGACTATAATAGCAGAGATTCACACTGTTTTAAGCAGCTTCATTAATGGAAATCCAGAAGCGTGGGCGCCAATTATTTCAGCATGGTCATTGGAACTGTTAGGTCTATAATCATTAAAATAATTCAAGTTAACGATCAACTTAAGTTATTAATGAAATGTTGATTTTATTTTTATTATAGGTAAACTTTCCTCAGAATATGCAAAACGTGGAAACTTGCCTTCGAATGCTGGAATTAATGATTTTCTTCAACAATGGATGTCTTGTTGCGCCACTCGTACTTTGATCGATATCACAGCCCAATGTCTTCAATGTCTTATGCATTCAGACACAGAGTCTTGCATCAAAGCATTGTTAGACACTAGCGTGTTGCATAGTCCCCATTTTGATTGGGTAGTAGCTCATGTTGGAAGCTGTTTCCCAAATACAGTTATTACCAGAGTATTGTCATGTGGTTTGAAGGATTTTTGTGCAATGGGAAATGAACATAATGTTAAAAATCCTAAATTGAATTCCGTAGTTGGAATTCTAGGGCATTTGGCTGGTAGTCACTTTCAAGATATTACAGCAGCATTATTAGACTTATTCAAAGTAAAAATTGTACTACATGCTACGATTAACTGATGCTTTTTTTGAAATATATTAATAATAATGTTAATAGTAATAATAAAGATAATAATAACAACGATAATTTTCAGTGGAGTTTACAGGAAGATGTAAATATAGATGAGGATACAAAGAATCAGAAATTGGCTACTGTTCCATTTCTTTTAAATTTGGCCTCTCTTTCGCAAACTCTTTTAAAAGCAATAACTAGTGACGTGTTACAGACATGTAAGTAGATATATCAAACATTGTAAAAATGGAAATGTAATTTATCTCTTTTATTGCAGTAAAGCCAGATATTATCCCACAATTAGCTTTATTTGCATCAGACTGGTGTAGATACTTTGATAATCAACCAGAAGCTCTAGTAGATTTAACTGTTCACTTGATACTAGGATGTGAACAAGGAGGGTCTCAGTTAATAAATATTTTATTGGATACAAGTTTGAGCACAAGTAATGTGGGATATCATAGCGTTAATGCTGCACAAAGTGTGAAAAGTGTATGTTCTGAGATACTAGAGTTAGTATTGCAAGAAATTGATTTACTTTTAAGGACACAAGGGCCACAATCTGCAAATATTGCTTTATTAAATTCAATTAAACAGGAATTTGTAGTGATATTACCTTTACTTTTAAGTCAAATTCCGCTGCGAGTTCAGACAGCCATTAGACTGCTATGTTTCCTTGGAAGTCAAAGCCCCAATATATTAATATCTGCAGCGTCGTATATGTTAATCAAAGCTGTAACTACATTTCATCTTGCTGCTTTGATACGACTTGTTTCTAATAACATCATATTATTTTCCTCTAATAAGTCTGAAACTGAAAATATATTAGCTAGCCACAGTTACTTTACACAAATAGTAGAACAATCTCTTAGGGATATAAACTACAGAAGTGTCATAGGGAAACAAGAACCGGGACGATTCTTCCAAAATCTTACAATATTGCTGAAGTAAGCAAGTACATTAAAAGAGTTTTATGCTATTTGCATATTTATGTAATTTTTTTTATATAGGTGGGAAAGGTCTAACAAGGCAGTAGTATTTCGGTCAAAAATGATAACTCAAGCTATAAAATTTAATTTGCCCCAAATTTCCGCTTTGTTAACAAAGACGACTGATTTCGATTTAGCTAATGACATTGCTGAAATGTTGGACTTGTTTAGCATGCCTGAGAAAGATAATTTTACCCCAAATGTAGAACTTACTTTAAAATTAACAAGAGCTGTAATTCAGTATTTCTTTTTATGCATAGTGGAAGATGGTAAGTACTAATTAGTTTTTGATTTTCGAAAAAAAAAATTCTGATAAAATTCTGGATTTTAGATATCACGAAAAAACAGCAAGGTGTGAAAATTGTTTGCCATTTATTAAAAGATTTAACTTTTTATTCTCCATGTGCTCGAGTTTTAGCTCTAAGACAAATTTTGGAACACAGTATCAATAATGATCCCGCTAAATATTTCGGTGCAAAGGAAAAATTTGAACCAAAGTTTGAGGAAACATTACTTTTGCATCAAAATCACAAACAGGTAAAAGCATAAAAATGTAAATAATAACTGCTATGGAAGATTATATAAATCTTGTTTGACTTAGGTTACAAGCACGATGTTAGCTCAGAAACATTCTTCTGTATTTCATGCTGGAGTAATTGGACATGGTCCTCGGAGACTACCACCACAGAATAACATTGACAAAGAAATTATTGCTCTCAATAAAATACTACTGATTGATGTAATAAAGGTAAAGTTTCTATAAAGCATCATATCGAATAAAACTATTAAATAAAAATTTATTCAAAATCTAAACTCAATAGGCATGTTGTAGTAATCGTGAATCGGAACGATATCCTGTTAATCTAGATGCTTTAACAATGGTCAGTTTATTGTTAGTTGAATTAGTTTCACCTGATGTTATGTATAATGGATTACCATGGCCTGATGAAGAATTTACAAAGGTATTGTTAACCGTCTTGAAGTGCTATAGTTGTAAACCAAAGTAAACAATTGACTTTAATTCAATTATTGTACTAGGTTACTATAGAACGAGATTTACAAATCCATCGAACATTCAAGGATGTTCCATTATTGTGGACATTGTTAGAGCTGACAGCTTGGTACAGACCAGCTTTAGCTTATTGCTCGGTTTTATTAAGAGGTATTGCTGCTACAGTTATGGCCAACTGGAATATAGACGAAGGTGTTTTACTCGTAAGCGTTATGGCACTTGGTCAGCTGTTACCGCCTCCGTTAGCAAGTATAAGAGATGTCTTGCCAGTTTTAGAACCGCATCAGGTTGGTTTTTATGATATTCAATGATAATCTGATACATAAATATCTAGAGCTAAAATAAAACATGTCTTATTGTAGATAAATACTATAATGAAAGAATGTGTATGGGCCTATATGCGCGAAAATGTTCCATCACCCGCTCTTTTCACGCGTAGCGAAGGCGCTAACATCGCTTGGCGAGATACGGATACTTCTACACCAAATTCACGGTTTACGGAAACGCTTCGTTTACTTTTGTTATCCAATATTCACACATTGGGTCCGCTTTATGCTGCCCTCTTTTTACAATAAAAATGAACAGTTGAATTTTCTAACGTATGTACATATTTCTATGAATAAAATAACAAATCTATAATAAATCAATGTTGATTAAGAAGATACTTAAAATAAGTATTAATACCTTCTTTAAATTTACACGTTTTTGTAAAAAATATTTTTAAATTGTTTTATTAAATTACATCAGTGGAACAACTTCTCAATTAATTTCATTAATATATTTCATATTATTTAAAATGTGATATCGTGAATCAATGTCTAAACATTGAGTTTTCCACTTGCTATCCTCGAAGTGTGTAACAATAAATACATTTTCAGTCATATTTTAATAACAATTCTACGTATAAAATAATAGGTACCATTTGTATTATATAAAACAGAAATTACTAATATCTGAATACAACTAAACAATATATAGCATAATACGATATATAAATACAATGCAAATGTAACTTTCATTTATAGTTAAAAAATATAGTTCGCTACTCTGCGTTGATTAAAAAAAAAAAAGAAAAAACTTAATGCAGGTCGGACCAAAAAAGAAAACAAGATAAATAATAAATTTTAATTTTTATAAAAACATTTACTTAAATACAAGAAAAGAATATTACTTTGTATCGTTATTGACACAGGAATGATGATATCTATGATGAGCGAACATTGTACGAATACCCTAGGTGGGTGTCTCGTCCTGACGAAATGATTATATATTATGCAATGCTTCGATTCATATTAACGTCACGATCATAATCGTGCGCTTTAAGAGAGTCTTTTACATGACTCCGTATTATTCGGAGCATAAAACACTAGTAAAAAATGCTGAAAATATTTAATTATTTTTTTTTTCTATATACACCGCTCGTTGTCTGAAAGATATATCTTGTATGTAAATCCAGAGCATTCAAACCACATGGAATGCTTGTATTTACATTCGAGCATTTTACATATTACACATCCGAATGCGAACTTCTACGCTTTGTCAACGTATATCCATTATTATATATCCATTTGATGCTGATTGACACAGTGTAGAATGTTTCGGATATAAAAAGAGGTATCATTTTTCACGATGCACAAATTAAAAATATCAATTGCAAAACTTGCAAACCGCGAAACTGATATATTTCTATCGTGAATGAGATTAGCAATTAAATGTTTTAAAAAAGAAAAAAAAAAAAAAAAAAAAAAAAAAATTTTCAAAAAAAAAAAAAAAAAGAAAACGATTCATACGTAAAATAAAAATAAACAAGTTGCTTAGTTATATAAGCAAGTTGCAAGTTATATAAATAAAAACGACAAATTTCTGTTAGTCGCTCATGATTGGATATAATTTTCATACAAATAAATTATATGTTATGTAAATAAAAACGACAGATTTCTGTTAGTCGCTCATGATTGGAAATAATTTTCATAATTTCCTACCAACGTTCGATCGAAGTGAAGTTTCAACTTTTAAAAGTCCCAGAAAGAGGAGCATCTCGCTTTTCCTTCGACGATGTTCCATCGGGGAAATTGAGTGTATTTCGCGGAACGTGTAGAAGTAAAAATTTCAACGTGGCAAAAATTCGATTCGAACAGACTGTGTTCTCCCCGGTACGGGGAGAGATATGGAATCATCAGAAGCTTTTATCGTTGGTAGCCTGCGCGACATTGCGGCACTCGTAAAAAGGACACGTGCGTCTCGTAGCGTCAGGACTTTCTTCTTTTCCCTTTTCTTTCCTCCTTCTTCTTCTTCTTTTTCTTTTTCTTCTTTTCCTTCATTGTCTCGAGTCATCCTAGCGAGCCGCGAATTGCGATTGCGTTGCAAAACCGCAAGTGCCATTTTACGTTTGACGTTCTATTTTGCTGGATCGCCGTGCGGTTTTAAGACAGAGAGCGTCGTCACGTTCTCCCCCTTACAATTTCTCTGCTGGTTACTGAAAATAAAAACTACTGAAACATCACCAAACTTGCGTCTGTACATTTTCTAATATAATTCTCGCAGAATTTTATTCAACTACGGGGGAAAGGAGTCGAATTTGTGAACAAATTCACGTTTGCGTTTTTACAGAAACGAAACGAATGTTTGAAAGAGACGGAAAAATACTTTCGTGAGTATCGCTTAACGTGATTGAAGTAACGAAAATGTATTCATAGTTTTGTCTAACAACGCGTTGACAGATTGCGCGATAATGGATCAGCAATTCGATTGGCTGCAAAGCCGAAACCAGCCTGTCGAAAGTGACACATGGAGTACATATTACAAACTCGCTCTGTCTTTGTCAGGCGGTAACCCGACGCGGCGTCCCGCGAAAATGGAACCTAAGTGTGACACGTCACTCTCGTCAAACGGAAAGATCCAATTCCTGATCCAACCGGTGGAGATTCCATCAGAGGTTCGAGTGCCTCCTGACTGGGGCGGCCGTTTAATCGAAAATTGTGAAAGCTAAATTAAAATCGAACGTAGGATCGGACGGAGTTTTTCGTCGCCCGCTGGAAAATGGAATTCCCCCGAGAAAAAAGGTCGAGGAAAGAAGAAAAAAAAAAAAAAAAAAAGAGAAAAGGACAAAAATGGTGGAAAGCGCGGCGAGCGAAGTATCCGTTCGCGACCGCGTTCCCCCGGACGAAAAATTTCAATCAGGACCGCGCTGGCGCGAACAAAGAGGGAAGAAGAGGGAGGGGAAGTAAAAGGAAAACGCGAAAGGGTCAAAGGAGCGAGAAGGAGAGGCGGACAGAGAGAAAGAAAGAAAGAAAAAAAAGAAGAGAGGAAAGCGACGAAACGAATCGACCAAAGTCCCCGCCGTTGCACGTGCTCGTCGCGCGAATTTACATTTCCATTAAGATTCCCTCTCGGCCATGCGAAACGAGCGACGGTCGAAAACGGAAGGGCCGAAAACTCGAAAGAGAGAAAGAGAGAGAGAGAGAGAGAGAGAGAGAGAGAGAGAGAGAGAGAGAGAGAGAGACTGTGGCGCGCAGTGGTTCGCTGTAATAAAGTGCCATGGAAATCCTTTGTGTTCCGTGGGATGCATTCGTTTAACTTTGATCCCGGCCCGGAACCGACTCGATATTTTCCTCCTCTTCGTCGCCGTGGTTCAACACTTCTTCTCTTTTCGTTTCTTTTCTCTTTCTCTGTCTCTGTCTATCTGTCTGTTTATTTCTCTTTATTTTCCTGCGCGGCGAAATCCAATTGAGCTCAGGGGGTGGTGGCTCTCTCATAAAAAATACAATATTTCTTTCGTTCGACTATTTTCCCTCCATTTGCCCGAATCTGTAAGTTTAATTTGACACGGAAGGGAGGAGTAGCCCAGAAGGGTGGAAGTCTGACCGTTCGCCTGATTGCTTCGCCCTTTGAGATTATTAATATGAATTACACGAAGTTAGCCGGTTGTTCCTCCTTTTGCCTTTTCTTCGTCGCCGAATCCTCTTTCTCCTCTTTCTTGTTTCGTCACGATCTGCTTTGTCCGTTATGGAAAAGTAAATTGTATACTTCTGGAAGTGTTAAACAGTTTTTTCTTTTTTTTTTTTTTTAAATATGAACTGGTGAATAAGATGAGATCGAATTATTCGAAATGTCCAAATTCCTTTAATTTCTTTCATATCTTAGCTACTGAACGTCACGTTAACTAGAACGCCATTTATTTCTCAATGAAAGAGAGCTGTGTACACTGTTACGTTGTTTCTGACGATTTCTCAAATTTCTTTGTAAAACAAACTTCAATTTATTCTTTCGGGTCTTTCAATTTCAAAATTTTCGTTCGTTCAGAGTTTGTTCCAGCTTGTGATTGCGTAGTGGCAAAAAAAAAAAAAAAACACCGCCAGAAAAAAA